CCATGAGAGTTCATATTAAAATTGATATTTATGAAGGAATTTTAATATAACTTTAATATATAGAAATCCATTTTATAGTTTAGGTTGATATCAACGGGGTTGATATTAATGAGGGACGACTGTATTATAGCAAATTATCATTCGGGCAGACGATTTTAGAAAAATTATCAATTCCGGCCTATTCCGACCCCCGATTCGGGCCGATTGGGTGAATTTGGTGGATCCGACCGGACAAGATCCGATATATATTCACGTGATTGTAACCCAATCATATCTCGAATTTTGCAAATCGGCCAATCAAGTTGCAAAAAAAATTGTAAGAATCATGAGGATGTTTGAACGGTCACAAGTACAGGAATATGTCGGGATCGGCGCAGCGGCGACAAAGTTATTGACAATATCCTCATCCAGCTCATAATTAAATTGGATTCCATTAGAATTTGTGGATTGCGAACATATCAAAGACGGTGGTTTCTCCATTAAGTGAGGTTATTGATTTTGTTTATTCTATTTTCTTATCGATACGATAGTTAAATAATTTTAAACAAATATAATAATGTAATAATCATATATATATATATATTAGATTATATAAGGCGAATTGGGGTCTATTTTCTCAACCTCAATTTCTGCATTGTCATGGTATCACTCAATCTCCAAGCAGTGGTGACTTCATAATGGTTATGCAATATGCACAAACAGGTGACTTGCGTTTATATCTTTAACGTAATAGCACACAGATAACCTTCGAATCCTTAAACGAACATCAAATAATACAACGTTGTGATTGGTGATGTTGGATTAAGCGAACCAGTCTTCAGTGATAGGTTCTAGATATTTATAGTTTCTCATCATAATGTGGGAACTCCGTTCTGGTTTGAAACTATTTTGTAGTACAGCTCACAATGCGAGGAAAAAATGATTCCTGTGGGAACCTCTACACTCTATTCTGATCTTATGGAAAAATGCTGGGATAGTAATTCTAGTGCCGTATCGTCGCGAAATAACGCTCCTGGGCGTTATTCCGAGACACATTGCTTGAAGTTAATAATTAAAAAGCCGAAGACTTTCAATAACAAAAAATTATAATACGCATTCGGTTAATGTAATTTAATTATTAGCCCTCTTCAAGCAATGTGTCTCAAAATAACGCCCGGAGCGTTATTTCGGTAATCGACCTAATGTCGCTGATATTTTGAAAACTGTTCATCACTGGTTGGTTGATGATTTGCAACGTGTTCATTGATCGAACGCATCCGGATGCGGTATCTCATAGTAGATTGTTGGACTTCCCTGAATTACGTGGAACGACACGTAGGCAGCAACATCTTTCTCTGAATATTCCGCTTTCTTTATCCGTAGTTAATATTACTCTGGAACACTTGTATTCATGAAAAGATTTGAACGCTTATTAGGTATACGACGTTTATCAAGTGTACATACAGTCCTTTTTTTTTTCTTCTGAATTTATATAGATGTGATATATTAATTACCCTAACAATCCTTTTTTTGAAATTCATTTTTTTTTGCTTCATTACATTCGAGGATTATTCAATTTGTTATTATAATTGATTTATTTCAGTAGAATAAATCAATATAATTCATTATTTATTCGTTTTATAGAAAAAATTTATAAAGCAAAAAATATTATTCAATCATATTTAAGGTGTATTGGATTGGATTTGGTTATAATTCTTAAAACTATAAGAAATTTTTATAAATTTTTTCAAATTTAAAAGAATTAATTTAAGTTCAATATAATAACTATTATATTGTAATTTGATTAAATCCTTTAACAACATTTATTCTTCGTATTCTCCTTCCAACTGCTTCCATCATTATAAATCTCTTTTTTCCAAATTGGTACCTTCTCCTTTAATGTATTAATTAACCATTCAACAGCTTTAAGCGATTCATTACGATGAACACTCGAGACCGCAACTATCACACTGGTTTCTCCGACCGGAACTATACCTAGTCTATGATAAACCGCTACTTTCATGAGTTGCCATTTGTTTCTAACATCAATGATTATGGATGAAATCTCTTTTTCAGCCATTGGAATGTAGGATTCATATTCTAAGCGAACGACTGTCTTGTCTAATCAAAAAAAGAATAACAATAAGTCGAAAATAGTTGGAAATAAAATAAAATGATTGAAATATTTTCCTTCGAATGTGTTCCGAGTTGTACCACAAAATGTTGAAATGGCACCAGCTTGGTCATCCTTGACTAAATCTACAATATCTTGAAGTATTAACGAATCAGATGTTAATTTTATGAAGTCTTTTTCGGTCTTTGCCATTTTGGTTTTTTAAAAAAGAAAAGAAAGATTATAAACAAAATCTACACAATTTATAAATTTAGCATTAGATATGTACGTATCACACATTTGTGTTACACGATACAAGCAAATAAACAATTTAATACGTATGATAGAATAAGTTTTGCGCCTGCTTATGCGCTGGGTGTTCTGTAATGAATATATTTCGTGTTAGGTTTGGTGTAAAGGTGTTGAATTATATGTTAGTTTGGGTTTGAAAGACTTGTCATAATTGCCTACTAATTTTTTTTTTAATTGGTGAACAGTGTTTTATTAAGCATGACGGAAGTCGGTTTTGATTGGCTATTTATTTTATTTAAAAAAGCATTGTTACAATAATCCAGTCCGGGAATATACCATAAATGGATAACGACGATCGCACCTTTTATAGAAATAGATCATCGATCAATTGATTCTG